GCCCTAACCCTAAAGTCCCCGAGTATACTGGAGGAATAAGCTGACACCAGTGCCTGGGGCAGGTAAAGGGGGAGATGCCATCCTCAGAGCCTAGGTAGCAGTAGCGTGTGTCTGCTCCTATAGATAAAGCTGCCAGCCACTCAGCAAATCAGTCATGTGCTTGTAAGAGGGAACTTTAAGGTAGCACTATTATGGGAGGATATAATGGGAATCAACATTAATTATGAGAATGTGATTGGAACTCACCTCCAACTCATAAGGGCCCCCCTCCACCCCGGAAACCCAGCCTGCCAAGCTCCTTACTATATGAGACCAAAGGATTCATCCACATATGCCCTCTTTCTGTTCTCTGCTCCCCACAGTTGTGGAATTCCTATTCTTCCCAAGGCTATCCTTAATTTGTTATGATCCACACAGTCGAATGCCTTTGCATCGTCAATAAACACAAGTAAGCATCTTTTGGGCACTCTGTTTCCAGCCAAGTGCTCTCTGATGTCAGCAATGACATCACTTCCTCTTCTTGCTCCCACGTCCTCTTCTGAATCTGGCCCAAATTTCTGGCAACCCCCTATCAAGGTACTGCTGCAAAAGTTTGTGGATGATCTTCAGCAAAATTTTACTGGTATGCGGCATCAATGATATTGTTCTACAATTTCCATATTCTGATGAGTCTGGAATGGGTACTGTGGTAGTTACATAATCTGTTGTCAATTTGAGACTTAAGAGTGAAGGGGTGGAGTTTAGCCTGTCAATCAGGTCACTGCGTGATGACCTCATTTGGAGGCGCTAAGGAGATAAATAGCTCGCTGGAGGCGGAACACACATACACTCCCTGTGAGATATTACTGACACAGAGCCTGATGGAGCTACGCTGATGCAGCCAGAGCCCTGGTGCTGGAGGAGCCACATGGAGATCCACACCAGAGCCACCGGATCCAGACGACTTTCCACCCACTGACCTATGATCTCCTGCATTCGGCATCATTGCATATGTTTCATGAGTCTGAAGAGGAATTTATAGATTGGTGTCGGACATACGGGCTAATCTTGAATTTATGGACTTGATCTGGACTGAGCTGGAATGTTTTTCAATATTCAATTGCTCTTTGATATAAAGCTCTTTCTTACACACATATGAGTGTCTATGAATTTGTTTCTCTAGTCTACCGGAGTAGCACAGGTACAAATAAGGTTCTTTTCCAGTAAATTGGCCAGGCAGCTGTCTCCCAAATTTTCTACCATAGACGAATAAGTACCCCAGTGCTTCGTTGGCTTGTTGAGACATTTCAGTGAGTTTCCAATCAATTCCTGGAGCCTTGTCTTTGGCTGGGAGAAAGACGGCGCTTTCTACTCCCATGAACAGTCCAGTGTCAGAAACTCACAGGAGCAGTTCTATCCTGTTTTACAGGGTCACTGTGAATCCACATCAACTCAATGGCAGTGAGTTTTGTTCTTTTTTTTGTTTGTTTGTTTTTAGCTAATTCCTTCACTGCAGCTTGGACTTCTTCCATTGATTCTTGCTCACCTGCTACCTCTTGAAACAGTTGAAAAGTTCTTTTTGGCACAGTGCCTCCCTTTTCTTTTGATGCTTCCTAGATATTCAATAGTTTGAAAATCGAGGCTTGAATTTTTTTCTTCAGTTCTTTCAGCTCAAGATGTGCTGAGCACGTTCTTCCTGTTTGGTTTCCTGCCTCCAGGTCTTTGCACATTTCATTGTAATCCTTCACTTTCAAAGTGTTTACTATCAAAGCTGCCCTTTGACAGCTTCTGTTCAGCTCTTTGACTTTATCATTTCTTCCCTTCACCTTTGATACTCTATGATTAAGAACTAGTTTCAAAGACTCTTCTGACGTCCACTTTGATCTTTTCTTTCTTTCCTGTCTTTTTAATGACCTTTTTCTTTCTTCATGTATTAGGTTCTTGATGTCATCTCATAGCTCATCGGGTCTTCTGTCATTAGTGTTCTGTCATTAGTGACATAAAATCTTGTCCTGAGATGGTCTCAAAATTTGGGTTGTATTTTGGCTCTCGTACACTCAATTTTCATTTTCTTCAGCTTCAACCGAACTTACATATGAGCAACTGATTTTCTGTTCCATTCAGCACCTGGTCTGGTTTTACCTGCTGATATTCAGCTTCTCCATCATCTCATCCCACACATGTAGTAAATATGATTTCTGGCCATGCTTTGCTATTATTTCTAAGGTTTTCACTGGCTAAGTCCTCTATGTGGACAGTGTTTTCTCTCTTTTTGTAGTCTGTTCTTAGTCTGGAAGCTCTGCTAAACTCTGTTCACTTTTGGTGACCCTCCTGGAAACTTGAAAAACCAGTGACATCACTTCCAGCATCATAGCAACACACAAGCCACCACATATGACAAGCTGACAGACAAGAAGAGGTATTAGTTGCTGTCAAGATGGTTTTGACTTATGGTGACCTTGTGCATAGCAAAACATTGCTCAGTCTTATGCCATCCATCTTCATGTTTGAGTTTTTCTTGCTTTCATTGAGAGTTTGTTTTTGCTTTCAATGAGTTTACCATTCAGGATGTCTTTACATCACTCTCCAAAAGTGGTTTCCCCAAATCATAGGTATTGCTCTTTACATAAACAAGTTCCTGTTCAGCATAGCCTAGATGAGTTTCCATAACCTTCCAAATAGCTTCTACTTGCTAACTCCAAGTAGTCAACTGAATCTTATTCTACATATCCATACTTACTCTTGAACTAATGTCTTTGTGCATATACCCTTCCCCGGTCTCAAACACGCCCCCTGAAATTCCCCCAAAGCCCAATTAGAACCTAGCCAGCCTAGCCAGATCCTTTACAGTCTGGGTCTCAGCGTCTCTGTCTACCTTCTCCATCATGTTAACCTTTGAGGATCCAGGGGTTTCGTCATCATCATCATACTACAGTTTTTAGCTAAATTTGCTTTATCATCCTAAGTCAGCTATCCTGGCCTTCAAAAGCCAATGACTCAAGAGTCATTCATTGAGTGATCCGTGAATCTCCTCCTCTCTGATTAGCTTTCCTTTGTGTTAAGAATATTTGGAAATATTTATTGAGGACATACATTTAGAAATACTGCCAATGTCAATTTAGAAATACTGCCTGATAGGCTTCCTCATATGTCCTTGGTGAGTACCTCTGCCTGGTTAATTAATGGGTGAGTGAAGAATAACAACAACAAAAATTGCTTAAGTCAGGCACACAGAATCTGAATAGCTAAGCCTAAATCCCCGGCACCTGCATTTTAACAAAATTGATCTTACTCTGAATTGTGTCAGTAGAAAGCAAAAATACATATTTACAAAATCGCATTTGACCTTCACATTTTAAAACACATTGTGTTGGGCTTTAGGTGGAAGTTTACATGGCAAATTCATTCTCCAGTCATTGGTGCAATCCCGCACCGCGTCAGCACTCTCCCTGGGTCACTGGCTTCTGCCCATCCAGTCCCTCTGTCCCTCCCTGTCATCTCATCTTTGGCCTGCGGCAAATGCTACTCTTTTGGTGCCATGTAACTGATTGTTCTAAGGAGTAGATTATTAACAGCTGTTTTGATTCCTTTATCATCTTGTCTACTCTTTGCCTGAAAGGGTCCCCTAAGGTGTCATCAGTTCCATGTTACATGATTGTGGAAGGGCAACCGTCTTAGGGAATTCTTGAGTCTCGTTCAGACCAGTAAGTCTGTTCTTTCACTTTTTAAAATTTGAATGTTGTTTTATATTTTTTTACCCATTTTAACCTGGACATTCTATTGTGTCTTTCACAGAGTGGTCAGTAGTGGTAACCAAACACCATCTAGTTCATCTGGTCTCAGATTCAAGGAGGCTGTGGTTCATGTGGGCCATTAGTACTTAGGACGAACTGCTTCCTTGAGTGTTTTCCTTTGCTCCATGTAGGAAGAGAACAATGGTTGCTTGTTAGATGGCCCCTCAAAAGTTTTTAAGACCCTGATGCTACCCCCAAACTAGGATGTAGAACATTATGAGCTGTGTTTTGCTAATCAGTCTCGATGTCCTGGACCTTCATGTCTACTGATTCAGTCCTGATATCGAAGTAGTACACCTTATGTGTTCTCTCTCTCTCTCTCTCTCACACACACACACACACACACACACACACACACACACACGAGTATATGAGAGCTATTTACATAATGTATATATTTTTAATGTAGCACTTTGACCTTGGTAGTGGAATTATTTGTCTAATAGTCTGTCTCTTCAGTTAGGTTAGCAAGTTGATCAAGGGTGAAACCCTGAAAGTTGTTCTCATTCTGCCCCATTACATATGACATTCTTAGGTAAATGCTTTCTAAAAATGAGCATTGTGCATTCTGTTTATCGACCAAAAGCCATCAAATGTACCTGGGTAAATTTCACGGCATGTCAATTATATCTCATTTAAGCCATTTAAAAATGCCAGTGGCACACTCACAATGCAGTCCTTGCCCCTTATGGTAGTTACATAATCTGGTGCCAATTTAAGACTAGTAACAGTGAAGGGGTGGAGTTTAACCTATCAATCCGGTCGCTGCTTGATGATCTCATTTGGAGGCACTTTGGAGATAAATAGCTCGCGGGAGGCGGGACATGCACTTTCTGCTTCGGATTCCTGATGACAAGACATGGAGCTATGCTAGATCCCTGGAGCTGGAGGAGCCACGTGGAGACCCAAGTCAGCACAGAGGTGCTTACACCGCCACTGGAGCCACAGACTTTCCACTGGCCTGTGATCTTCCTGCATTCAGCATCATTGCACGTATTTCACGAGTCTGAAGAGGAATTTATAGATGGGTATCAGCCATATAGGCTAATATCGGACTTATGGACTTGATCTGGACTGGGCTGAGATGTTTTCTCAATATCCAATTGCTCTTGTATATAGAGCTCTTTCTTATACACGTGAGTGTCTCTGAATTTGTCTACCCAGACTTAACACACCCCTGAAAAACAGCAGGTGAGGCAATTGATGCTCCAGTATCAAAATACTCACAGGATGGGCCACAATGCACTGCTTCACGTGGGTCAACCCGGCAAACAACTTGGAAGGCAAGAGGCAAGAGGTGGAGCTGCTCAAGACCACTGTGTCGTCGACGATGCCGTCCAGCAGAGCAAACGTCTTCTGCTTCAGCTCGAGGTTTTCTGGAACACATTCCTGAAAGGGACACATTCAAAGGATGACTTGCGATGCCTTTAGTCGGTCAGGCAGCCAGCAAAGCATTTCAGGCTTGATTCACTCCCCAAATGAACCAGTTGAAAAACCACCATGAAAATTTCAGAGCAGCAAAAAGGCTGCCAACAACAAGACAAGAACGTGGTAACTCTGGAATCTGGATGGTGGCGACATGGGAGTCTATTGTACTTTCTACTAATGGGTGGCTCTGACTGGTCTCATAATAAGAACACCTGCCAAATTTATGGGGGTGGTTTCTACAAACAGGATACACACAGACACCTCGGGCCAGGGGCTATAAACGTTAATAATCTTCTTGCCGTAACCATTTATTTCCCCTATCTCTTCTGATCATCAGATCAACTGATCTTCGAGGAGAAATCTTATCTCCATGAAATGAGCCACCATTTACATCCATGATTCCCACAAGGCTCCTGGAGAAAAGGGGAACCTTTTGAAAAAGACCGTTGTTTCTAAACATCTAAAGTTACTTTAAAAGGGCGGGGGAGGGGCATAGAGAATACATTTGAATTTAATACTGCAGATAACAAGTTCTCTGAATTCGCGTGACTTGCAAAGCCGGGAGGGAGAGTAAGATGACAGATCACCCACGGGCGAGGCGTGTTCCCGGAAACCTGAGCACGGAGTGGCACTGCCCTACCGTGGTAGAAGTGGAACCCCTGAAGGAGACTGGAGCTGCTCCATACTTTGGAAGTAGTAAAGCTGTCTTTCTCCTGGGCCACAAACACCTCTGGGGAAATCACAGCAGGGGTCACCCCTACCCAACCTGGGCCCCAGCTTTCCCAGGTGCAACAAGCACTTCCAGGGCTGGCAGCACAAACACCCAATGTTCCCTGGTATTTTTAGTGCAGTGATTCTCAGTATGATCCAATACCTACCAGCCTCAGCATCAATGGGGTGCTTGTTCAAAATGCAAATTCTTAGCACTCCCCTCTCAGGCCAGTAAAATCAGAATCTGCGAGTGGGGGCCCATGCATCTGCACTTTTAATGAACGTCCTGATCATTCTTGCTCCTGTGAGACATGGAGAACTACCATGGGTCCAACATGGGAGTACTCGATACCCTTTGCACGGTGGTGTGTTCTAAATACATCTTCAAGGATCTCCTCTTCATGATAACGCCAGGATGGTCGCCCTCCCCTCACTCCCCTGACCCCACCCCCAGCCCCCACTCAGGCATACCAACAAAGTATGCCTGAGGAGGGAAGGCTATTTTGAATATTAGCACTGTGATCATTTCATGGTCTCGAATCCTGATTCTCATGACTGCACCTGGCCAGTATCACCGGATGTTTCTTAGATTTACAGATCTCTTTAGGTAGTGCATCCTGGTGGCACTATCCTGTAAAGGTTGGACTGCTACCCACAAAATCAGCAGTTCAAACCTACCAACCACATCACAGGAACAAGATGAGGCTCTCTGCTCTCCTAAAGATTCACAGCCTTAGAAGCCCTATAGAGGGTCACTAACAGAACAGCCTCAATGGCAATGGGTTAGTGGCAAGTTGGTGAAAGGAGCCTAAGTGTTAAAGCAGGTCCTCAAACTTTTAAACAGGGGCCAGTTCACTGTCCCTCAGACCGTGGGAGGGCCGGACTATAGTTTAAAAAAAACTATGAACAAATTCCTATGCACACTGCACATATCTTATTTTGAAGTAAAAAAACAAAGTGGGCAAAAACACCCGGCAGGCCAGATAAATGTCCTCGGTGGGCCGCATGTGGCCAGAGGGCCGTAGTTTGAGGACCCCTGCATTAAAGTGTGCAAAAAAGTGGATACTAAATGCTGAAGTACTGCTAGAAACACCCCTCAAAAATAAGGAAAATACTTTCAATTTTGATATAATAATATCCAACAGTTAATAATACCTAATACTACATTGAAATCAACTGTGTAACTATTATGACCTGAATTCTACTGCTATATCATCTACAAGATTTTAAAAAATGTTACTCTAAGAATTTTGCATTAATATTGTGCTTGTTTATACTTTAAAAAATTATAATCAAACTATATAACATTTTATTAAAAACAAAAAGATCATATAAGTATTACATCTCAAAGACAGGGGCAAAAAATGGAGTCATTTAAGAACTGTTAAAAGCCCATTGTGCTAAATTCCCTTATCAAAAAAAAAAAAGCTACAGTACCTGGCTAGTTGTACATTGAGTAAACCCTGGATCAGTTAAGTCTGCCAGTTGGGTAAAGTTTAAATGAAGCCTTGTAGTAAAGCCAGAGACTAAGAATGATGCAGATACTGTTTAAGCTAATAAAAGAGCCTTCCTGAATAGGCTCATTGTGAGCCGGTCATGCAGATTCCCCCTGAAATTCTAGGCCTTTCTTCAGATCACTTGATTATCGGAGAGGCAAGAAAACTTGAACCGGAGGAAACCTAAACCTGCTACAATTATGTAAGGTGTTTTTTGGTGTTTGTTTTTTATGACACATTTGCTTGAAGTTTTGTTGTCATGTTGCTGCTGTTGTTTTAACAGTAACTGGATTGTGTTCCATGTGCCATGCTAGTCATTACGCCTCTGTCCATGTCCACCCTTGGGTTCATTCCTTTACTGTTCATGGGGAGCCAATACTCCTGCTCGGAGAAAGCGAATCTGAAACATTTCATCGGTCCCTTCATCGCCTGTGGCTGATGACAGTCATTCTCTTTGCCCTCCCGGGGCAGAGAGGAAAGACGAGGCAGAGCAGCAAACAATGAGCTGACTGAGAAGTCCTCTGCAAAGTGGCTTTGCTCTCTCTCAATCACACAAGCCAACCAGAGGAGAATCCGCCCTACGCATTTCTCAAACCAACGGTGTCTTTGGGGGAAGCTTCCTGAAGAAAGTCACTCAATGGGAAGGCTGGGAAAGGAATGCTACAGAAGACAATTGGCTTGTCTTTGTTAATTAAGCATTTCCTAGATCAACAAAAGGACTTTTGTTTGTGTTGGATTTTCGTCATTTTGAGGTGGGCAACCACACAAATCATACTCAAATATTCATATACACAAATAATACAGCATATTCATTTGCACAAATATGATTTTGACAAAGCAAAGCAAATTTGGGGTGAAGTAAAGCACAATGAAACATTTCAATCAGAATGGCTATTAATACCTTTTCAAAGCCTATTTATATAAAGCAGTATCAGATAGTTAGAAATAGGGTTAAGTTTAAGTCCTTCGCTTTTTCTTTTATTGCAATACAATCGAAAGAGACATCTGACCTAAGGTAAATGGTTGAAGTATTGATAAAGCTTAGCATAACCTTTCACACAGATTTAAATCCTGTTACTTATAATCAACTGGATCACTAAGGCACACCAAGAATGTGGATATTATATATCACGTGGTCTGCAACTGATAGCTAATCAAAATCCCTTGTACTAGATCTTCCCAGGATATCTTGTGATCTGGGTGAGATTTTTGAACAATGATTTACTCTCCTCCTGCCATAATTTAATGTATAACCCAAAATATAATGATATGAAATTCCATTTATTTTTACCTTTTCTTGTGAATTAGATGAAGGTTTGCCAAGCAGATCCTCAGTTTTACATTCAACAATTCATATGCATTTTGTTTCATGTCAGATTGCAATCGCCACAATGTATTATTTCCCTCCCTCCCTCCATATCCCATTTCCATTCCTCTTCCTTCCTCCCCCTCTCAATTTTTTTCCCTTGGATTTTTAACAACCTGTTCCCCTAAACATCAGTTATGTCCTTGTTTTGAAACAGGGCTTCCTCCATGGCCTCCACCACTATAAACCAATCAGCATATTGTACTGCGCAGTGCTCTTCCAGCACACTCTGAGAGCCTTCCCTTCGACTCACGACCTTCGGATTTTGAGATTTTACAAGTGCCCACTTGAATTCTATGTTAGCTTCAATAATGTTTGTTTGTTTGTTTAATAGATATTTATCTAATACGGTTAGCATCATTGGCAGGGTTCTGGAAACATCTTTCCCAGTGGACCCCGAAGAGCGAGAGCTGTAAACTAGTCAGACACTGACCTTAAAGACTCCTAGCGCCTCCCGGCCTTCTCAAATCTTAGAGACCCGTCTGGAGGTGAGTCCTCGCTAGTGGAGCCCCTCGGGTTTCTGTGCGGACATTCGTATTGTCCACTGTGGCTTGGTGGGTGCTATGTGATGATGAGGTGGCCCCCGCCTGCAGCGTATCTGTGCCCTGTGATGTGTGCTCACGCTCACCTTCTCTGTGTTTCCTGCTCGCCTGTTTCGATTTTACGGTTTAATCAGCTGGCTACTGAGGAGCTTTGGGGTCATTACTCCACAAAAGAAAGGCACAGGTCTGCCTGTTCAGAACCACAAGGGTGGTCACCAGCCGAGCAAGAGAGTTTAAAACTTCTTTGTGAGGATAAACCCGACAGGGGCTGGAACTGAGCGATCAGCTGTGTGCCAGTTGCAAGCAAAGAGCCACAGAACAGGAAGATCCCGCCGGTACCAGCTATACACAGCCCCAAACCTCTGTGGGGTGAAAAGCCTGAAAAGTTTTTATGGACTCTGAAAACACTGGCGTCTTTTGTTTCTGTTCATGGTCTGAACATTTTTGTAGAAATTTTGAGCATTACACGTCTAGCATCCAGTGGACAAAAGGTAAAACTCCCTGCATGAACCTTTTCTTTTGCTATCTCTCCAGTAGCACCCGGCTTAGTGCACCTTTGGGTTCCCAGCACATTCAGGTTTTTGGCAGGGGGGGAATGCTGCCTTTAAAAAGCACAGCAAAAGAACTAGGAGGCAAAGGGCAATTATAGAGATCTAAATACAGGCACATGCAGATGTAAATATATTTATATACGAAGAGGGGGAAATAGATCTATGCACATATATTTATAGGTTTAGTATTAAGGAAACAGATGGACAGTGGGCCCCTACTCAAGTACTCCCTCAATACAAGAACACTTTGTTCTAACAATTTGGCAGTCTGAGATGCTCACTTTCCTGGCACTAT